GGTCTCGTCCGCCTTACGTAATTACTTAGGGGGGGTCCAGACTAGCCTTACAAGGGTCTTACGGTGGGGAGGGGGGGTGGGGTGTCTAAAAATTAGAGAAAGTGCCTTGCGTAATTTGTGGACGGCCCCATACTTCAAATTGAACAATTAAATTATATAGAAATGAGCTTTCTCCTCGCAGACACATACAACTATTTGTAAATTAAAATGTTCAGGTCAAGGGATTTAAAAATTTCAGTATGTTGTTTCTTACTCAGAGATTTCGCTTATAATTGAATTACTTGAATTTGCGGTGAAGTTTAGAGATCAGAACAATCATGCTCCAGTCTCAGGGTAGGGGAGGAGTATTGGCAGTCATGTAGTGAGGGTCAAAATAGACATGGTTTGGTCCTGCCGCCCATTTAAATAGGAGAGATTATTCACATTCACCAGAAAGACATGACAAAGAGGTAAAAGATAAATCATAGCATTAAAGGGCTTAATGCGGAATGCTTATGCACGCTCCCCTCGGATCCGTCTAGCAAGTTGGATGTCTTTGGGCATAATGGTGACGCGCTTAGCATGGATGGCGCACAAGTTGGTGTCTTCAAAAAGACCAACTAAATAGGCCTCACTTGCTTCCTGAAATGAAAAAGGCAGAAAAATGAGAGAGTTCACTCGCTTAATATTTTTGTCGACACTAAGAGAGAAAGAAAAATGTACCAATAAGGATACACAGCAGTAATCCCTAAGGAGAAAGTCAAGTATTAGTCATCAGCAAAGGAGGTGTCGTATAAACATAGAGTTGCAATATAAGTGGCAGAGCTGTCGCCACTTTTGAGCATTTTCCAGGTCCCGAGTTCCAAGAATGCTGTGTGACGCTGGGGCACTTTTTCGATACACAGATACCCGGACATCCGATGTAAACAAAGAGGATCCGAATTATCACGTATTCCACACCGCCATTATGGATCGTACATGTATCGAAAAAGTGACCGAAGCTTGGCGCACACCAGACTTGGAACTCGTCGAGCAAAACATGATGCCAGCTTTTCCATTTACATTACGCCTCCACGCACTCTAATCATGTAAAAAGTGTAAAATAATCTTCAATCCTCATTCCTCCTACGTGCCATCACCACCAAAGTTCGTCAAAAAGTTGGTGTAGGGGTTGAGATTATATGAATATACACAAGTTTGTAGCACTCTAGGATGGCTAGCCACCTTTGTCCCTCCCCCCCCCCCCCCCCCCCCCNACCAGACCACACTCTTTCTGACATCAAGCACCTTGGTATTACTGCATCAATCTCATCCCTTCACCCTCTCATTGGGCGCTCTCTGCTCCTGCTCCTTCTCCCAAGAGGAACCCAATTTATGACCTTCTTCCACAGCCTGTTTCGAGCCAATTTCTAAACATGACAAAACCATACAAATTGTTTCATCATAACGATTAAATTCCGAAGAAGTTGTGATGTCTTTCAGAACAATGGAACTATTGTAAACTTTAGCTAGAGCGAAAACTTGAGTTGTTTCTAAGGTCGTCTTGGCAAGGGTGAGGCTGTATATACTTCCAACATGACTGCTGGAGATTTCAACTTTCAAAGGACCCTTTCGATGATAAAGTCACCACATCAATTAGTAGAAAATAAAATAGTGCATCCTTGTGAATTTGCAACAATTAGCCAATGAGAGTCACTCGAAGAGACAGAATTTTAGCTGAAGTACATATTTAACTTTATTGATACATTTCAGGAAAAAAGTTCCTTTTTGAAAATACTCACTTGCAGGGCACCAATGGCAGCACTTTGGAACCTCAAGTCAGTTTTGAAATCTTGGGCAATTTCACGAACCAGCCGTTGGAAAGGTAACTTGCGGATGAGCAATTCAGTACTTTTCTGGTATCTCCTGATTTCACGGAGAGCTACTGTTCCAGGCCTGAAAAATTCAAGTTATTGGTGAGAGGCTGAGGACAACGCAAGGGTACAAAAAGTTCTTTGCCTTCATAATGCTAAACACTTGATACTGCACACTTCACCATTATCTATGTATAAAAGAACGCACTTGTTTAGCACAGCGGTGGGCTCCCTAATTTCGCTTACCTCTCCTTGGTTCAGTTGGCAAGCTGCTATGCTGGCTGGGGAAATTTCGGGTTTGCCTTGCGGCATCACTGCAGAAATTCCCGTGGCTAATCAGAGGAGCGGATTTCTCGGCTGATCACAGGAGGGGGGAGCGGGGCCAGAAGGAAGGGCCTGGAGCTTGGAGCGCGGAGGGCGCAAAGTCGTCGGAGACCACTGGATTTTAATTTTTCTATCATTTTCTTCTTTATTTTGTGTTTTTCGCTGGATCCAAAGTTTGAGCGTGCTTTTTCTTGATGTGCTTCGTCGAAAGCTTCAAAAAAACAGAGGCTATTGTCGAAACCGCGAGTTATGTTTTTATCCGCTTTCCCACGCACCTTAACAGTGCTTTTCACTATTTTCCTTCCATGAAAGAGCGCGTTACACAGTTTCCTTTGCAAAAAGTAATGCGCTTCCTAATTCCCATCCCATCGAATAATGGTTAAAATAGTCTCTTTTACGAAAGTAGTGCATTCAAACGAAGAGGTGATATAAAAATTTAAAAAAGAGAAAACCAAGGGGAGGAATGCCTTTTGTCTTCACTTCTCTTACCCCTTTTCAGGGAGTAAATTCATCCATTATAATTTTAACTAGACAAGTTAAAGTTAGTTTAAAACTAAATCTTAGTCACTTTAATAAATTTGATTCATTTTTTAAACTTCATAAGTTAATGTTTTATAACTAAAATGGGTCAGTTGCGCTGGTAACAGCATCGTGTTTTGATGCTTCATTCAGGTAGATACACTATTAATAATAAGATCTGTCCAAACAGCAACTTTCTACATTGAATATTGACAGAGATATTGCCCTTTGAAAAGTTAGGGTTTTAACATCATCCACCGCAGAAGTTACACCCTTAGTTTCTTCCACTTTGCTTTCATCAGTCCTGGAGACATACATTTGCACTGGTTACTTAACATGAAACTCAGATGAAAGCAAGGTGGAAGAAACCAAGGGTGTCACTACCGCCATGGATGATGTCGAAAACTCGATTTTTCAAAGGGCAATATCTCGGTTTACAGGCAACGTAGAAAGTTGCTGTTAGGACAAATCTTATTATTTTTAGCTGATCTCCGAGAAACAGGAATCGAAACATGGCTCTGTGACCAGCACAGCTAACCCATTTGCAAATTTTGGCTTAGGTCACTCTCCAATAATTGTAATATGTTAAGGCTTGGCTTAATTTAATCAAGAATGACAGGGTCCAACAGTTGCGTAAGAAACGTGTGGCCGCACTCAGATCAAAATCTAGGAGGGACACTGAGTGACATCACATATGTTAGTGTGCCTGCTAGTGTTTCATGCTAGTAACTTCAAAAGCATTACAGCAAAAAAGCTCCTCTAATCAGACACAGCAGCAGAGTCACATGTCTAAACAACAAAGGCTTAGAAAAATGCCAAAAGAAATCACTAATCAGCTCTACTTTGCTTGAAATTGGCACGAAGAGTCCGATTCTAAGAGCTCCGTGTTCTCAGGTGGTCGCAAAGAACATCATATTAAACAATGACAAAATTCAGCTGGTGCCAAATTTCTTGGTTTTTGGAGCAGGATTCTTTAAATATTGACCCATCAAGGTATTTTCTGCAAATTGAAGAACTTGCCACCCTCTTATAGGTTCTACAATCTGCAATTCAAGCAATCTGAGACTATTTATTGTTGAAAATGCAATGAAAAACTTGTGGAAACTAATGGTATACCTGTAGCGATGAGGCTTCTTGACACCTCCGGTTGATGGGGCACTCTTCCTTGCGGCTTTGGTGGCCAGCTGCTTCCTGGGGGCTTTACCACCTGTTGATTTACGTGCTGTCTGCTTAGTACGAGCCATGATTCACTGAAGAACAGAGGGAAAGATAAAGATTATAGAAAATGCTATTACAAATCATGTTTTAAATTGAGAATACTGCAAAACTTCTTCCTTTAACTGACACAAATCTATAGTGCGGCTTGAATTTTTAGTTAGAATCCAGATAGTGCTTACAAAAACCCTTGTAATTACCCATTTGCATGCACCGAAAATGAGCTAAAATTGTATTCAAAAATGAGAAAAAAATAGTTTCCATCAAGTCTCCAACTTGAAAATTTCACAGAACCTTCCTAAGGGTCTGCTGGACAAAATATAAAAATTTGACAAAAATCGAAGGGGGGGTGTTTTTTGCTACAGCCCCCCAAAGGGTGATTGTTGCTACTAGAGTACCTGCATAGCGAGAGTATAGACAGATGTGAAACTCTGAAAATCCATCAGGCCTTCACTGATGCCTCCGCGAATAAAGTTAGGGCCCAGAAATGCAGCCAACCTATGAATTTCAATTATCCAGAGCGATTTATTAATACAATTGTTACGAACCATCGTTTATAAAGCATGTATTTGCCTTAGTTTTTGCATAAATTTCAGAGACAAATAGAGGCCGAGCACGTTGGATTTTCAGTGAGGCACATCTAATTCTCGGGGATCCAACGAAACAACTGTCATGTATTTTCTGATTTCGCCTAAAGTTGACTGATGCTAGTCGGCTGTTGGCATTATGGCGGCTTGTTTACATTCTTCTTAATCAATTGCAAAGCAGAAAATTTTCCAATTTTTCCTTTGAAACTCTTCCAAATTGTCATAAAATGACTTACTACTAGGTAAAAAATTAATTCGCCCCTTTTAATCAACATTTGTGATACTTTCGGTGGTTTCACTTTATGTAGTGAGAAGCAGATTCCTCGAGACTCTCAGCCTGGTCCGCAGATTGTTCAACTTCATAATGGATAATTTTAGTTATCGAACTTTCTTTTGACTTTAAATGGTGTATAATTTTTTCTAGACAGTATCAATACCTTGTGATCAAATTCTCAATCTATTAACCTCCACATCATGTCGCAGGATGCAGATATTTTAGCTATTTAAGATCTGTCAAGAACCTGATCACAGCAGCACTGCCAGTCTTACAGATACACTGTATTGAAATTTGATGAAAAAAAATTTACTGTCTTATGTCATAAGCTGCTCACTATGATAAGTATTAATCGTGGATCAAATGCTTGATGTCTCCAACATCCTATCTCTAAGCCTGATGTAGTGCGTTGAAAGCGGAGTGTTATGGCTGCGAAGCGTCGATATTTGTTGTTGAGGCGTGTAAATGAAACATTTGGATAAGCTTGCAAGCTGTACGAATTCTTTTGTGTGTGGAAAATAACTGAATGTCCAGAATTCTACCTTGTGTCCTTTCCTGTGGCCTTCGCTCATCAAAGTTAGGTAAGTAAGAGACCGCTCATATCCATCTTATTATGCTTGTCAGTATTAGTCCATAACTCCATAGTGTAAAAATCCTTGGAGGGTGAAGTGCCCATCATCTGCTGGAGTTCAAGAGATTTGTTTAAGAACTTTTCTTCCTGATTTTTCTCTCAATTTTACCAGAATTTTCTCTTCCACCACCATCATAAAGTATTTCAACCTTGCATTAAATGAGAAATGATGTATACGCTGTCAACTTCGCCTTAGAATTCCTAAAATTGGGAATCGTGAAACAAATAAAGTAGCTTCACCGTAAACTTTTGCTAGCTTAGTTGGCAGTAAAACTCTCATTAATTCGGTGAAAATAAAAGTAAATGTTTTTTCCTCGCTCATTTCGATGAGGAAACACATTGAATACATATAAATTGTGATACTGGATGCAACTAATACTACTCCCTGCAAAATTGGAAAAATGTGTAACTCGAAAAAAGGAAAGAGGATCTCACCAGGGTGCTCTCTTACAACTTATAGATCAAAATTCGTGATATTTCGGCTCTTAAAGGTTCTTTCATCATTCAGAACTAAAGAAACTAAATTTAGTTTGAACAGGCATCTTTCAAGAGAGAAATGTGACAGCTTATTTGCAGTTTTTAGCTTTTTCATAATGCGTCAAATCTACCTCTTGACGAGAACAGGCGAAGATTCGAACCGCACACTACTTATTGTTGGTTTACATTTCTCACTTATCAAACTTTAATGAGCAAAGTTGTTAAGTACGTAGGAGAATTTCATTAACTGCTGCCAAGGATTCACAAACTCTGACCTGACCAACATTTCCTTCAGGTACTTGAGATACGGTCAGATGTTTAGAATTCTGGACATTTAGTTATTTTTCACACACAAAAGAATTTGTACTGCTTACAGGCTTATCCAACCGTTTCATTTATACGGCTCCTCAAAGACACATATCGACACTTCAGTCGTAATGCTCCGCATTCAATGCATTATATCAGGCTTCGGGATAGGATTTTGGAAACAGAATTATTTACAGAGAATTATCTTGAAAAAATTATACACCATTTACAGTCAAAGAACATTTCGATTGCTGAAGTAATTATCCATAAGGAAGTTGAACAATCTGAGGACCAGGCTGTCTCGAGGATTCTGTTTCTCACTGCAAGAAGTGAAACCACCGAAAGTATCACAAATGTTGAGTAGAAGGGGTGAATTAATTATTTACTTGGTAAAAAGTCATTTTATGACAAATTCGAAGAGTTTCAAAGGAAAAATTGGAAAATTTTCCGCTTTGCAAGTGATAAGGAAGAATGTAAACAAATTGCCATGTTGTCAAAAGCTCACCAGATGCGACTAGCACCAGTCAACTTTAGGCGAAATCAGAAAAATGATGACCATTGTTTTATTGAATCCACTCATTTTTGCGGAAGAAAGCTCATTTATGTACTTTGTTAGCCATCTTGGTTAGGATTGAAATCTACAGACTGGCAGAGAAATTTTGTGCGTTAGAAGGGTGGCTGCACTTTTGGGCCCTAAGCCCTCCATGGAGCGATCTGTCCATACTCTCGCTATACAGGTACTCTACTTGCTACAGCCCCCCAAAGGTTTAAATCAGGGGGAATGGGCACCCCTTTTTTCAAAAATAACATGATTCATTCATTTTTCAATAGAGCAGACAAACAGCTTCAAAACAAGCTCAAATTGAGCCCTGTAGCTTAATTAAAACCCGAATTATGATTTTTTGAAATTCAAGGGGTTCACAGCCTCAGGGTTTTTTTGCCATATTTGAGCCCTCCTAACTCCGATTCTATTGGTCATAGAGAGCTGAAATTTTGGGATTTTGATACCATCATACGGATCATCATGTTCACCAAGTTTCATCAAAATCAAAGATGGTCATGAAAATTCACTAATGCGCTCTTGCCAGCGTATTCTACCGCATTAGTGGTTGAGACGAACGTCTATCTTCAACTAGCTCTGAATTAGCACCACTCAACAGGTTAACACATGCCGTCAGATGGCACCACAGGTGAGCGGTAACATACAATACTTTGACTTTTGTCTCAACACACAATGTGCAATCTCTATAGCTTCACAGACCGGAAGCAGACGGAGATACCCAGATTCTGTTAGATAATATCACGCAGCAATGGCAATAGAATCAAATCCGTGTGTGCTCAACAATCCATTGAACTTCTCTCCCACTTTTGTCAGAAAAAGAGTTGAACCGTTGGAACTGGGCTTCAGGAACAGAACATGAATCAATCGACAGTTAAAAATAAATTGATAGTGAACAGTTTGTTTGGCAGTCTAATGTACAAGCATTACACTTGAGTGAATACAACCGGATATAGGTAGTCATCTACTACCAAGAGAAAGAGAAGCAGAAACGAGATCACTAGAAGTAGAAACCTATTAAGTTAGTGATTGAGTTCGGAAGTACGAAGGATCGAGTTCCGAAGTGCAACAAAACAGTGATAAGACGGCTCAAACGACGGGGAGCGGGTGAACGATTATGATTATACGGCTGCAGGCAGGAATTTCCTGCCTCACAAGGCACACCCACACCAAACAAAACAGAGCTCATGGAAACGGGGTGAAATGTTGAACAGGAGACAGTGAATAAGACTGCATATGAGGGATGCTTTGATAAGAATTCTGATGGAGGTAGTACTTACAGAGATTGGCGATATAATTTGGGAAATACAACCAAAGAAAACAATGGATTCAGGAATGCAACGGTGCAAAAATTCGTAGTCGAGGGTCGACAAAGTCATAGAGAAGAAAAGGAGGTGTTTGCATCTTGAGGTTTGTTTACCCTAAGACGTAGGTCGGTACAACCTGGCCAGCGAAATTCGGAATTCGAAGTATGAAAAACGAACCATAATGTCCCATTTTTTTACTTAAATCAACTCATGATACAATTTCAAGCACTTTTTTGGAATGACTTTTTTCCATAAATTACACCACTTCCGAGAAAATTGATGATAAAAGTCGCTGTACCAACCTACGTCATCAAAAAAATCCAAGATGCCCGAAATGCTAACACCTCATTTTTTTTCTCTATGCGACAGAGCACAGGAAGCATGAACGGCGGAATGAAATAATGAGTACCGAAATGGCGGAGCGAGCGTTTTGATTGGACGATGCCCGACCAGCTCTGATTTTTGATTTGCAGAAATAAGGTTATCACGGATTGGTTACGGAACGTAGAATATTAGTCTCTCATTGGCAGAAACAAAGTTGAATTTCATTGGGAGAATAATGTAGTAGAAATAGATCGTGATCGAATGTCATTCTGAATGACATTCGAATTTGAATCAAACGAATTGATCAGTGCTGAGTGATGCCGATGATCGGCGGTGCCGGACACGGGAGCTGTCAGCATTTGAGCCCTTTCCACACGTTGCAAGTTTTGCTGCAAGTGAGCCGAAAGTGGGAGTCATCACTCATCGATGATGCTGAAATTTGCGTCCCGTCCGCAAATTTCACGACCATCGATGAGTGATGACTCCCACTTTCGGCTCACTTGCATCAAAACTTGCAACGTGTGGAAAGGGCTTAAGGTGGATCCTCAGTTTTTTTGTTTATAGATTTCTCCGCCCAGGGGACGCCACCGTCGATGTCCGTTTTTCGTCAAATTTCTGCAGTCAAAGCTGAATTTTGAAGAATCTGAGCTTTTATTTCAAAATCGGAAAATGTCACTCTGTAGATTAGAGTATTGCGAATATTTTGAGCCTTTGATCATCAAAATGCAAGGTGTTGTGGTTGAGAAAGTACTGTTTCCCCACAAGAAATCTCGGCCCTCGGCCGACGATCCTCTCAGTTGACGGTAAATTTAAAGAATTAGAACACTTAATTTCAAAATCCAAGGATGTCAGTCTGAAGATTAGACTCTC